GGTGTCTAATACATGCATTTTCTATTACGAGTTTTCTCTTGGTAATTCCGTTGAGTGCCATGATTAGCAGGCTACGTATCACCGCATTTTTTAATTCAATGACACGTGTAAAGATTCGATTCTGAAATGGAACGCTTCAGACATTTAAAAGCTCTTCTTTTATTCTCTCTTTTAGTTGTTGAAGAAAGAAACTGCTCAGACCCTGGGGGCCCGGTCAATGGGTACAAGAAAATAACGGGAGGCCCTGGGCTCCTCGGTGGGCGCTATGCGAAAATTGGCACTATCATGTCCTTCTTTTGTAACAACTCGTATGTTCTCAGTGGCAATGAGAAGAGAACTTGCCAGCAGAATGGGGAGTGGTCAGGAAAACAGCCCATATGCATAAAAGGTAACTTGCAAAGATTTCTGATGTCTGTAGAAAGAGTTGGAGTTGCTAGACTTTTTGGTACCTCTCATATACATGTTTCTGAGCCCCGAGAAAATGCCTTTCTCTCTTATTCAGTTCTTACTGGAACTATATATTAATCTTAGGTTGGCAACCATCTCTGAAAACATTTGTTTCTGTTTTGGATCACCAGAGGACCTGCTTATCCTAATCACAACATCTTGAGGCGACCGAGAAGAGTGATGCAGTTATCAGAGCAGTTTAGGACAGATGACAGGGCTGAATTTTATGTGTACAAATCCAAGGAAAGAATTGCAGTAATCCATATGCATTTCTATAGCTACATTTATCTATTCTCTATACAACATTAAGTTAATGTAAAAAATAAAAGGACAAAATAGACACATCAGGCCTGCCAGCTTCTAGGGAGGAAAGTTTGAGATGTTAAAATGTGAAGATGTTAAGAACATCATTAAAAGACAGTAAATCCTTGAACATTCAAGACAGAGTTCTAGGAACACACGAATAGTATATGTTCAGAGCAAGGAGTGATCAGTATCGCCTGAAGTAGGGAGACTTATAGGAAGCAAGTAGGATTGGAGCCAGTCTGGGAGGCTGGGAAGGATTTGTAGAGGTGAAGAGAAATTGGGATGATATTCCAGTCTGAAGACAAAGGAGAAGTGAAAGAATCATGTAAACTCAAAATGAGGCAATCTGGGAGCTAAATTTAAAAAGGTGGTTTGGGACCAGAAAAAATGGAACATTGCACGGAGAAGTTCGGCCCTTACCCCTTGGTAGTGAGGATGCTAGTTTCTTACTGAATTAATCGACTTAGTTGCTCCAGGTCAATAGCCTCCTCTCTTTGGGGGGGCAGGTCACAATGATCTGGCTGTTTCCAGGGAAGAAAAGCATGTCCTTGGCCTAGATTATCCAGATAATTGCCTCAATCCTCCACTTTCCCTTCTGGGTGTTTGTCAATAAAGCCAAATCATGGGAAAGGAATGAAAGAGAATGGTTTGTGAAAGGAATAAATCACTTTAGACTTTAGCCAGAAGCGACCTTCATCCCTACCCGCACAGACTCTGATTCTTGATTTCATTAAGTATGGAAATGGTGTTACATATGTCCTTGGAAATTTTTGTCAACTCTTCTCTTACAAGTTAATGCAACCAAGGTTCCCCTGCTAATTAGACGAATGTTGGCTGCTTGATTGAGAGAGTGAGATGGGTAGGATTCCTTTTCACTTGTGAAGAAAGACTTCAACAAAATTAAACTGGGCTTTGAGTTGCCCTCAAATGATTGTTAGGAGCCTTAATTGCAGAGAAGGGACATGGAGGAATCAGTAACTCAAGACTTATTATCCATGCTTAACACTGCTGTTTGCTTTTAGATGAGAACCTGATAATTCCCTGTGTTGGGCTAGATGTTAGAACCTTCACTTTGACTTTTATTCCATTTTGATCATTTGCTAAATACTATTTATGTGAACAGATAATCCTAGTCTTTAACTGCCAGGGTTCCAAATCACCCACGGGAAGCATCTTTTCAAGAGGTGTTTTACCTGGGTTCTTTGGAGGGGTGTCAATTTCGATGAAAGGCAGCATGTTCTTTTGCTAACGGAGCTGTGCAAGCTTGGCTGACATGTCCCACCTCTGAGAGCCTAGGGTATGTGCACCCAGTGTCCAGGAAGGGCGGTCAGGTATGAATCTGAACTAAATAATGTGAACAGTTAATATGGAAAAGACTCTGCAGCATTGTCTCTATTTTCCTAGCCTGCCGAGAACCAAAGATCTCAGACCTGGTGAGACGGAGAGTTCTTCCAATGCAGGTTCAGTCAAGGTGAGGTTGAAACACTGGAACTCTGCTTTAAAGGCGAATGAATGTTCCCCTCCCACCCGCTCTCCCCACTTGTGTTCAGCCAAAGACAGTCTGGGGTTTCTTGGGGACATTCAGTGCTGACTGGCCATGAAAGAATAGGGCTTGTTAGATGGTGGCTTGTTAGCCATCTGCCTTCAGCCAAGAGGTAGCAACTGTTGGAAGATGTACAGATTTAACTGGATCATGGGGAGAGTAGGTGGCTGGTGGGAAGCGAGACCTTAAGATGATCTTTGAAGAACTGGATTTTACTACTTTAGTCTTCTTGAAATTTCTATTGAAATTTTATTATGGCAGCTTCTAGGGAAATGACATTGCTGCCACATGCAGCCAGCTATGGGAAGGTCTTCTTGGTAGTAAACAAACCAGGTGAGGCAGGCTGGTGGAGCCCGGGAACTAAAAATAAATGACCAGCCCTGATGAGGGCTGTGATCCCTCAGGTAAACGCACCCAGCCTTTCTCCTGGAAAGAGAGAGAGAGGATCCACCTGCTGGGGAGAGAATAGGCCCGTTTCTACTCCTCCTCCCCTTATTTTGTACGAAATCCTGTTCTCATCTCCTCTCCTACCATTCTCCCCGTCACTCTCTCCACCCCAGCCAGCTGGTGGAGCCGCCTTTGCCTCTATCCCTCCGAGCACAGTCCTGCTTCAGAACCTTTGCACTCGTGGCTCTTTCTTTCTGTCTGGGACCTGCTTTCGCTGGGTTTCCACCAGCCTTAATAACTCACTTCGTTCAGTTCTCTGCTCGGTTTTTACCTGGCAGAAAGACTTCCCCCAACTGTCCTTTAAAAAATCGCAACCCCGCCTGCACCGTGACTGCCGAGCTGGCTGCTGTGCTCGGTCCGTGCTCTCTGGCCTTCACGGTGCTTCACTTTGCATCTCAGCTTCCATCTCCACCTGTTGTCTTACATGTAGTTTTTGGTTTATTTCTTCCATTTTTGTCTCCCCTTTGCCCCGCCAAAAAAATATAAAAGTTACAAGTGCAGAAACATTATCTGTTTATTTATGCCGAATGAAGTTCTGGTGCTAGAACAGTGCCTGCCCCACAGTCGGCACCTTATAAATTTTTATTGAATGAATGAATTGGATTGACAAACGGGGGTTCAAGACCAGGTCGACCTCTCTTTAGTGCTGGATATTCTTGGGCAAGTTTCTAAACTTGCTGAGCTTTTTATTTCCTCATTTCAAAAATAAGGATGATCATAACTACATCTGTCTCTGGGGATTGTCATAAGGATTAAATGTAACACTAACTTTAATTGAGTGTTTGCTTTGTGCCTGTTGTTCTCCTGAGTGCTTTCCATGCATTAGTTCATTTAATCCTTACTGCAACCTCTAATGTAGTCTTAATAGTACCATTTAGTATAGGTTTTATTACAGTTTTTATCACAGATGGGTAAATTGAGGCTCAGAGAAGTTAAGTAACTGGTCCAAGGTCACATTGCTGGAAGAAATGGCAAAGGCAGGATACAAATCCAGGGTTTTCAGGATCTGGAGTCTTCAGGGTGTGCTCCCTTATGCACTAAGCTTTAACGACGCCTTATGTAAAGGCCGTAGCAAAACACCTTGCTCAAATGAACACCCTTAAGTAGTAGCTATTGTTTTTACAAATAGTTAACCGTGAATCCCAGTAACTAGAATTGGCCTCAGCCAAGTGACCTGAAATGTCCTTAAATCGGAATATTCATCAGTCTCTCACCTTTCTTCTTGCTATCTCAGTGCATTTCTGTATCTCCCTTTTCAGGGAAGGCATTTCCTAGGGAACAGTGGCAATGGAATCCAGATTCTGCCCCCTGTTTCTGATCTTTGTGATTCATCTAGGGCTGGATTCCCATGAAGTGGGTTAAACCTGATACACCTGTTCTTCACAAGGAGCCATCTTGTAGAATAGATCCCGGGCTTTTAAAGAAGCCCACCGGGCTTTGCATTTTTAAAGCAATTGCAATGGGAGGTTAGGTGACAAGGTGTCAGGTATCACATGTAGATGAGAAAGCAAGCCTAAAACTTACTTTTAAGGAGCTTTCTGAAAGATAGGCTGCTGGAGCTGGGATATGCTTATCTCTGGCAGCCAGGCTTACCCAGGAACCCCCTAAGGCAGTGTATACCTTCAACAGATGGGCTAAAGATGAGCTTGTTTGCAAGTCCAGTAGCTCCCTGAACTGCGGACCTGGTTCTAACCAAGAGCTAAAGATTTGTTGAATGAAATCGATGTGGATGGAATATTTGCTCTGAGCAAAGCATTGTAGAGACACATGAAACAGATTGTTTAAGATGGTATCAGATTGGTGCACAGAGACACCAGGGTAGGAATTGTGACTGCTAAGTGCTGCCTTGGGTGCCGTCTTGGCTTCCTGTGTGCCCTCCAGTACTCCCACTTACCTCTCTGGGCTTCCATTCTCCTTCATTAAACAGGGATTAGAACATTGAAGGGAATTCTACCTTTCCAGTTAACAGTCATTGTGTACCAGTATGAAATGAACACAAGCTGTATAATGTGTGTACACCTCCCCCAAGAATCCCCAAGCGGTCCCTGGGGGCTTCAACATCAGGGCTCTTTTAAAAAGCCTTTTCGCATTTACACACATTGCTCCCTATTTTTCCCAGTCAATGTGCCCTGAGAGAAGGTTCTATTCTCTGAGGTGTGCTAATTATGTCTGCTAATTGCTAAATCGAGCTATTGTATCAACACAGTTTAGTTCAAGTCAATTCCTGATATTGCCCCATTATGATAATGGTTAGAGAAAAAAATATGCCCGGATTTCTCTCATTCAAATTAACTTCCTTTCCTGTTTAATTTCATAATTAATTTTTTATGTGTGCATGTATAGTATTACTTTTGATAGTAGCTATTATGTCAGATATTATCCTCCTTGCTTAAAATCCTAGGCAGCTGGAGCCATGCCAGAAATGGAAATGGAGGAATAGAATGAAGCTTGAAGTGTGCAGAAGAATTTGCTCAGTGGTAGAGGGGAAGTGTGTGTGTGAGAGAGAGAGACAGCAAGAGAATGAGATAGCTACTGTTTATCCTTCTTCTGTAACCAAGTATCAACATGGGATTGGCACGGAACTAAAAAAGCCAAATGACTCTCTCCTACCCTGCTCTCTCTCTGGGCCTGTGTGTCCCTATGCAGGGAAACACCGTTACACCAGCTATACTCATCAGCTTTCAGCAAGCAGAAACTGCAGAGTGCCCCTACCAAGAAACCAGCCCTTCCTTTTGGAGACCTGCCCACCGGGTACCAACATCTGCACACCCAGCTCCAGTATGAGTGCATCTCACCCTTCTATCGGCGCCTGGGCAGCAGTCGGAGGACTTGTCTGAGAACCGGAAAGTGGAGTGGGCGTGCCCCATCCTGCATTCCTAGTGAGTCAAGGCTTGTCCTTGGGCTGGAGCAGCTTACATCTAACATGACTGCCTATTAAAAGCCATTAACCTCTTCTTGGGAAAAGTTTCCTGTCCAAAGGAATGGTCTTCCAATACTTTCCCTAGCTTGGTAATGTCTGATATTTCACAGGTAGAGCTTCCTTCCTTTGGCTTAAACTTATTACCCAGGAGAAATTATCTCATTAACTCTTAGATAAATTTATTGGGAAGGGGTGCACACATTTTGGTGGATAATTATGTCATAGTCACTTGGAGAAAAGGGAGAGAGCAGTCATTAAACACCTTGTAGGGAGGGTTAAAGGTGCCAGAGGGCTTCTAGCTATGTTATCTTTATTACTCTCTCTAAGCCCTGGTTTTCACCCTCATTATCCAATAGTATTAATTAGGATATTGTTATTATTTAATGAAGTATTAATTGCTCAATAAGGTTATTATGATGATTACTGAGATAATATGTGGAAATGTCTAGAATAATAAGGTCTTACACATACTAAACTGCCTTCCCCATCTTTGTCAAGGAAAACAGTATGGCTTAGTTCATGGTGGTCATTTTTATAATGATAGTCATGATATACTGAGTCTAATTGTTTTTGTACATCATCTTGCCCTGTGAGATGATTGTCATTACTATATCCATTCTGCAGACAAGAAGACTGAGGGACTCTAGGGATTAGGTGACTTTGCCAGTACATGCCTGGGATTGGAAGTCTCCAGTCTTAACCTTAGACTGTAGCACACCATGTCAAGGTGGTTGATTAATATTTAAAGAGAAAAAAAAACAGGTTAGATACTTAGTGGTCATGACAGTCATGGGGCCCACCTTTCGATATTTGTGCTCTTTTAGTTGAGTGACACATTCCTCTTTGGATGGGAAGTTCCGAATTGATCTTATTAGAACTGGTGCTTTTTTCGTAGTCTGTGGGAAAACCGAGAACATCACTGCTCCGAAGACCCAGGGGCTGCGCTGGCCGTGGCAGGCGGCCATCTACAGGAGGACCAGCGGGGTGCATGGTGGCAGCCTGCACAAGGACGAGTGGTTCCTGGTGTGCAGTGGTGCCCTGGTGAATGAGCGTACTGTGGTGGTGGCTGCCCACTGCGTAACTGACCTGGGGAAGGTCACCATGGTCAAGACAGCAGATCTCAAAGTCATCCTGGGGAAATTCTACCGGGATGACGACCGGGAGGAGAAGACCATCCAGAGCTTGCGGGTGAGAGAGGTTCTCTGGTTCAGCAAATTCCTAGCACTGGGAGAGCAATTACTGTGTCAGTCTGGTCACTTTAGCACCCGGCCCAGAACCTGGCATGTAGCAAGTGCTCAATATTTCATGTTAACAAGTACTAGGAAGGGGGCACCTAGAAATATTATGGAGTCTTTCCTCCTCAAATTGTTTTAAAAATAAGATAGTAACTAATATCTGTCATTGCGGTCATCAAAAATTAATCCCCTGTTATTTAGGGCACTGTACTAGGCAGGCTTTGAGGACATAAAGAGGTTTTATCCAAGACAGTTCTAATCAATTTTTAATATTCTTCTCTTTTCCTATCTTCTCCCACCTTCTTTCTCTTCCATCCACCTACCCACCCACCTGTCCATCTGTCTATCCATGCATTCACTGATCCGTCCATCTATCCATCCATCCGTCCATCCGTCCGTCCGTCCATCCATCTGTCCATCCATCCATCCGTTCATCCGTTCATCCATCCATCAGTCTGTTCATTTGTTCATCCATTTATTCATACATCCATCTATCCACTCATCCATCTCTCCATCCATCCATTATTCATCCATCCATTATTGAGCTCCCACAGTATGACGTTCACTGGGGATAGATACAGAACTGAATGAAGCATAGTTTTTGTCCTTTTGAAGAGTCCACAGGCTAGACAGAGAAGTTATTGTGATTAGTTCAACTCGAGAGAAGCCCTGAGAAAATGTGCCCAAATGTAGTTGAAATAATAGAACACATACGTAAAGTATTAGATGTAAGCTCCTAGAAGCCTCCATCAAAGACAGTGATTGGCAAGGATTGGGACAATCAGGGAAGACTTCGTGGACCATTCTGGGTGTAGCTCTGTCTTCCTGGCTTGATGACACATGAAATGTTTACAGCGGACCAGAGATTACAAACTGGTAGCCTGTAGGGGTTAGTGTTTAGATAGTGCTTATATATCATTTTTTAATTAGTTATTCGCCAACATTTAAAAATCAGAAGGTTTCAGATAAAGATCTGGAGTCCGTTTTCTGGTAATGTTAGAATGTCGGTCCATTTCTGCATGGCGGTGGTCAGCTGAAGTGAAGTGGCAACTGCCCACTTTTGACAAGTATGCATCTTATGTTCTGTGGCCTCACTTGTCCACTTTGTTTAACACCATCTACCAGGCCTTTTTAGTTTGCAACCCTGGAAATAGAACGGTTGCTTTCTACTATCCCTTCGGCAAGTGTGTCCAAATAATTACAGCCGTCTCTTAGACATTTCCTCCTGATCATTCAGCCCCAGGGCTTACCTGTTTGTCCACTGTGGAGTTAGCCTCTCACCATTGCCATCTGCTCCTTGCATTCGTAGATTTCTGCAGTCATTTTGCATCCCAACTACGACCCCATCCTGCTGGATGCTGACATCGCCATCCTGAAGCTCCTAGATAAGGCTCGCATCAGCACCCGTGTCCAGCCCATCTGCCTCGCGGCCACTCGGGACCTCAGCACCTCCTTTCAGGAGTCCCACATCACTGTCACTGGCTGGAACATCCTGGCAGACGTGAGGAGCCCCAGCTTCAAAAACGACATGCTGCGCTCGGGGTCGGTCAGGGTGGTGGACTCCCTGCTGTGCGAGGAGAAGCATGATGACCACGGCATCCCAGTGAGCATCACAGACAACATGTTCTGTGCTAGCCGGGACCCTACTGCCCCTTCCGACATCTGCACAGCAGAGACAGGGGGCATCGCAGCTGTTTCCTTCCCGGGACGGGGCTCCCCTGAGCCACACTGGCATCTGGTGGGCCTGGTCAGCTGGAGCTATGACAAAACATGCAGCCACAGCCTCTACACAGCCTTCACCAAGGTGCTGCCTTTTAAAGACTGGATCGAGAGAAACATGAAATGAGCCTCAGGCCCAGTGAGAAGCATTTCCATGCATCCGTCTGTGCATGTGTTGCATGAGGCAGTGCGTACCTGACCTGTGATTCTGTCCGTGAATTTGGCTGAACCAGGACTTCTCATTTCAAGGCTTACACTAGTGGAGGATGAGGAGGAGAACTCACTCTCTGGGAGGCCCCTGCCTCACCGATTGCTCGGACTACTTGGAAAACACCTGCTGGCAAGAACTGAGTTTCTTAAAAAAAAAAAAAAAACGGACTATGTGAGTAGCAAAGAAAACATCCCCATTCAACTGACCCATTCGCCTTCCCTAACTGCCCTTCAGCGGTGCGACTGTCAGTTCTGGCCAAGAGAGGGTTGACCAGGAGGCCCAGGCTTCGTGAGGTCTCTTCCAAGGCTCCAGCCAGACCAAGATCCAGAGAGCCGCCTGTAGGACAGCCCAGGACAGTGGAGCCTGGAGATGACATTGGCTTTTGTGCACATATACACACTACAGTGTGATCTTGTTCCTTCCCGGTCCCCTGTACACATTTTAATAAAACGAGGGTTGGTTTCTGACCTACAGACAAATGTGCTACAGCTCTGATTCCTGCATGCTGCTTCTCTGAGCTACATGTGTCAGGGCCAGTGGCTGGATGGACAGCCCTTTAGAATAGACCCTAAAGGTATAATTCCCAAACAGTGCATATGGCGAAGATGATGCCATCTTTTCAATACCACCCCTTGCAGTTTGCTGGGGCCCGGGCTGGGGGAAGGAGGACATGGGTGTCATCAGATATGGTACAACCAGAGGAAAATAGCAGGAATTAGACGATTTCTAGTGTCCCCTCGGATTCTCATGTTCTAGGTCTAGCACATAACCTTGCTTTGAACCTCCATAAATCTTTAGGACATATTTTCATAGCATCTGAATTGGAATCACCTATTTATTCACACTAGGTGGAGATATGCCACAAAATTGCACCGTTTTCTATAACTTCTGTGATTTTCCTTTCAAGCCCCACCCCCAGCTTTCACTGGATAGTGGAGGAAGAAAATAAATTCAATCCAATGCAATCCCTGAAGTGATCTTTTGGGGAACATTCTTTTTGGGGAGGCTCATTCCTTTATCCTTTCTCTGCTGCTCTCCTTACCAGTTTCTCCCTCTCCAAGATGGTGCCGTGGAGGCTCACGTGACTTCGAGCACCGGGACACAGGATTTCTGAGTCCCTGCTGGTTCATGGGTGTGTTTGATGGGTCTTTCCATTTTCTGGGCACTTTGCTCTCATTGACATTAGGAGGTAGAATCTGTAATGACTGTAACTTGTACGTTCTCTCTGCTTTTTTGGGGCCTGGCAGTCTTCCCTGCTGACTGGCTCCTCCTCAGCTCTGGGTGGCACTGTCACTCCTGAGATGTAGGGGGATGACTCCTCCTTGACCCTGATTCGGGTCACTAAGCCTCATTGCCACAGTGATGACCTTTTCAGGCAGCTCCAGCCAGACTCTCAGTGACCTCTTACTTCCTCGGGGGCCTGTGGGAACTTTTCAGTCTTTTTGGTCCCTAATGAGGGCTGAGACCCAGGGTCAGTGCAGGGCACCCTGGGGACATTTGCCTCCTATAGGCCCAAACAGGAACTTTACTCTTCCTCAACCCATCAGAGAACTTTGACCTCAAGGACTTCAGCCCCGAGACTGGAGGTCAGGACACATTTGTCTTCCAACCTGTTTCCCCATCTCTGTGTCTTTACATAATTCCCTGAGCCAGAGAGAATTTCTGGTACTTTCTCTTTTTGTCAGGCTTTCTTGGGGCTTTCTGTAAGTCACATCCTCCTCCTCTTGCTCATCCCCCACATCCATATGGCTTGATCTAATAGCAATATATTAGTTATCCGTTTCTGAGTACAAAATGGCCAACATTTAGTGGGTTGAAACAAGAAATGTTTATTCTCTCCCAGTTTCAGTGGGTCAGGAATTGGGGAGCTGAGGTTGACATGAGGTGGAAGTCATCTGAGGACTTAACTGGGGCTTGAGCATTGGACTCTGCAAAAATCTCTTAGGTTGCTCAAAGGTTTTTTACTTTTCTTTTCTTTTTTTTCTTTTTCTAAACCTAGAAAGCTTAGATCTGGAGAGGTGTAATGGAAGTCAGATCAAAGAGATCTACATTCAAATTCTTGTTTTTTAACTTCTAAGTGATCTTGGGCAAGTCACCTAATCTCTCTACCTCAGTTTCATCTGTTAGGTGGGCATGATAAAATCTGTCTTTCGTGGTAGCTGTGACGACTGAGATATTGTGTAAGCACCGAACACAGTATGTGGCATGTAGGTTGGTGCCTATGATATTTGGCAGGGGCAGTGCTGTTCAGCTGGTCACAGATCCATAAAGCCTCCACGTCTGCCTTTTTTGGCACATCTCACACGGGTGCCAAGCTCATACTCTCCATTTTTTAACTCAGTCTGACCCCTCACCTGGACCATCATATTCCCTACTTTCCCAACATCCTCTTTACTATTTATTGTCATTTCCATCCTTGCTTTGCAATCAGATTTGGTTTATACTGATGTCATCTCAGCTGTGACTCCGATCCCCTCAGAAGCTGGTCGGGCCCCAAATCTTGGTGACACCACCTTGGACTGCTTGGTTAATAGTCTCATGGCCATTCGCCACCTCCTCTAGATCTTCGTACCCCAACACTGCTCTCATGGGCTGCAAGTACTCAACCACACTAACCCAAGACTCCAAGTCAGGACGAGAATCAGATGCAAGCCCATTTCTTGGGCATATCTGGAGCTGTACGAATGCTGTTCATCTCCCTTTAAAACGTGGCCCTTATATCCTGGGATGCCACTCCAAGGATAAGGAATCTCCTTTCTGCTGGAGATCTGGTGTGTGTATCAGTCAGGGTTTTGTTTTGTTTCAGAGAATCAGAACTTACAAGAGTCATATAGAATAAGGATTACAATGACCACGTATCACATAGGCACTGGTGGAGAAGTCTGTGAGAGGCTGTTGCCTTTGCATCTGGTATTGGACCTGCAGTCAAGTGGGGGAGCAATTGGGAAAGAAATCTGGATATGAAGCTGGCAGAGCAAAGACAAATCAGAACCCATAAGGACAAACAGAAACCCATGGCTGTCCTTTGCTGTCCCCAACCTCAATGATGCAAGTTACTTGCAGGAGGAGCTGGCACCCTTTGCATATAGCTGCACACACACCTGGTCTAGGACACTCAGAGAAATCAGAAGGGGATCTCCAGCAGGTGCCGGAGAAGCTGTGGGCCTGGGTGCTGTCCCACCCCAGCAAGGTGACATTGTGTATAAACTGATGCACCCTACCAGCTTTCAGAGCATAAAGTTGCTTCACTCTCCTTTTCAAATCTCATGGAATTTTCTCTCATGCCCACTCTAACCTAGGACCATACAGGGAAAGGAGTTCAGATGCCCCTAAGTTGATGTGGGACGAAAGCCATCACAGGTCATGGAATATTCATGCTGGAAAAGCGGTTGTCAACTGAGGACACATTCGAGGAGAGCTGAAGAAGCTTCCTGCCTCATCCAGAATAGTTTGATTCTCATTTCCTTTGTAGCAGTAGTTTTGTTTTTTTACATATATGCAGCCCCCAATATCTAATGTTCTATCAGCAAAGCTTTGGTGCTTAAGGGCTGGTCTGCACTTAGAGCTAGGCTGTGGCATTCTCCTATTGAAGATCAATAATTTTACAGAATGCTAATATCAGTCAAGATGATTCTGTGACTATGATGGATCAAGACACGAGCAAGACCACTTTATATCTTGCCTATAAACAGACAAAAGCAAGGTCACCATACAAACCAAAGAATTACCAAATACCCACCTCTTCTAGTTAATACAAGTGACTATTGCTTCTTCACCAATTATGGCTTTAGCCTCGATCTATTCATTCTTTTTTCCAGATAAGATTGTTAGCTGTTTATAGAATGCCCCCTGGTTGCTATGGTTGGGATGCTTCCTGAGATCCAGTCCAGAGCAGAATTCCGCTTCTTTGAAACCTCACCCAAACTACCTAATAGAAACCCAAATCATATAATAGTTTCTTTCTAATAGTCTTTCAGTGAGACACACACAGTTCCCTTTGATGTGCATTCTCCATTTCAAGGAGTGATAAATCTAAGTTGTTGAACTATAGGTGTGTCTCTGGTGATCTTTGGCTGGTTGGCATTGAAAATTATATATACATACATACATATATATAAGTAAGAATCTTGCCTAAATCATATAGACTTCACTTAAATTTTGTGTGCTATATGGTAAAATTTATATGACATAAAATTTAAGTAAAATCTATATGATTTAGGCAAGACACTTACTTTCCTTAGGAGTGGCCAGGTTTACACATTAAGTTGACTTTCCAGAATAAGTGAGTAGTTGAATCACACTGTATTCTCTGATACAAACTCCAACAGGAATTGAGAGGGACAATCCGAGTAGGCCAGCATTTTCAGTTAACTTGTCATTCACAGGATAGTTAGAACTTCAATTTAGTCTCTGGATTGATGTATGGGAAGGAAGTAGGATATTGTTAAGTATAGAAAGATCTTGGAAACTACATAAGATTAAGCATGGAGAGGGCCAGCTTGCAGAAGGTCCAATTATTTCCCAGGATGAACCCTTCATTAGAATGACAGGTCAGATTTGCCAATGAAGGCAAGACCAGTCAAGGTGAGACCAATTGATGGTGGACCTCGAAAGTTAGGATTAATCATTTGGCTTCTTATTGCCCATTTGCAATAATAAAGCTCATTTTTATGTCTCCAGAAGAGTGAAAGGATGGAAGTGGAATTCTAGAAAGGCCCATCAGGCTGGATGTGCTAGACAGAGACAGTGGTTAGAAAACACGGCCTGAGCTCAAATCCAAGGACTGTCGCTTTCATGCTATGACCTTGAGCGTTACCTTTAATCTCTCTCTCATAGTTGCCTCATCTATAAATGTGAGTAAAATGATATGAGGATTCAGTGAGATAATCCATACATGAGTTAAGTAAGTATAACAGTGTCTGACTCACTGCACTTTATAAATATTGGCTGCTTTTATGGTGGTGGTTTTTTTCTCATTCTTCAGGACAAGGAGATTGGAGATTGAGAAACCAGTTATGTGAAACCTTATGAGGAGTACAGAGAGGAAGGGAAGTTTTAGAATGCAGTGGAGGTCCAAGCATGTAGAAACAAGTGTGATGATCCATGGGGTACGGTTGATAACAGGAAAGGATGGGCAGAAAATAAATGGGGCCACGGGTTAGA